AGCTCAAAGTTTAGTGCTCACCTTCCATACCCTACATGGCTTGGGGGTCTGTAGATGCTCACCATGAGCTTGCCCTCAACTGAAGACTTCTTTGAAGCCATCATCCTGCTATGTGAGGTGAGGCAATTGGTGATGGAGGACAGGGCGCTCTCGATGTAGAAGCTTCTCCCCAGGGAGGCTTGATGTATCTTCTGCCTTAGTACAAAGGAAGCTTCTTTTGAATATATAAGACCTTTGGGCCCATCTTGCCCAGTATTGTCTAAGCTAGGAATGTGGAGAATGTTACAAAACTCTAGCTCCCAGCAGCCTGGCGTGTGGTATGGGATGATGGAAACAGGAATCTCAACAACATCTGGAGGGTCACAAGTTGTTCATCCCTGGTCTATATTGACTCTTAGAACATCTCCAGTATTTCAGACAAGAGTGTCTCTCAGCCCAACCTGGAGGTGTTGGGGATTGAACCTGCGACCTTCTGCATGCAAAGCAAATGCTCTACCACCAACCTTCAACTCTCCTCACCAGGCAGATGTTCTCCCTAGTCCCTTTATCTTTTGACTATGTTATGCTGCATTTACTCTTTTATTTTATTTTATTTATATTTTTACACTGTACAGTGGTACCTCGGGTTAAGTACTTAATTCGTTCTGGAGGTCCATTCTTAACCTGAGGTACCACTTTAGCTAATGAGGCCTCCTGCTGCTGCCGTGCCGCCGGAGCACGATTTCTGTTCTCATCCTGAAGCAAAGTTCTTAACCCGAGGTAATATTTCTGGGTTAGCGGAGTCTGTAACCTGAAGTGTATGTAACCTGAGGTATCACTGTACTGTGTTGTATACTTTTTTATTTTCCCTTGTAAACTGTCCCAGGAATATTTTATATTTTGCATTGAATGCCAGCCTAAGAGTCTTAAAATAATGAAAGAAATCCCTCCTCTTGTTTCACAGGACTGTGGCAGGACAAATTGCTTGACGCAGACACACATATTCAGTGCATGCTGAAAATGTCTCAGGAGGCAGAGGCCTGTCACTATTAGCATATTTTTATGTTGTTGATGTATAAATATTTTATGCAATGATAACACTGTTATTGTTAGCGAGCCAGAAAAAACCCGAGTACATACATCATGACTTGCTGTGCCTGTAAGAGCAGACCCTCCAACATTTCTCCGGGGAAAATAGGGACTTCCTATTGCATAATAACAGTAATTTTATTATTTACACCCCGCCCATCTGACTGGTTACCCCAGCCACTCTGGGCAGCTTCCAACATATATGAAAACATAATAAAACACTTCTAAAAACGCTTCGCTATACCGGGCTGCCTTCAACTGTCTTCTAAAGGTTGCATAGTTACTTATCTCCTTGGCTCAGGGGTCACATAACTCCATACCCTCCAACATTTCTCCAATGAAAATAGGAATATCCTAAGGAAAAGAAGGACATTCCAGGATCAAATTAGAACCTGGGACGGCTTCTGTAAATCCGGGACAGTCCCTGGAAAATAGGAACACTTGGGGGATCTGTAGGAGTTTGTTAACAATGCTCAATCTAACACTCAAAAGCCTTTGGTTCCCTTTTCCCCTCATATAGTTCAACTGACTCTACACAGTTAAATCTGCTGAAGTCAGTAGCTATTGGAGAGAGATATGCTTTTAGCTGCAGGGAGTGGGGCAGTAAGTTAGTCTGAAGTCTTCAGCCACGGGTTACAAAAAGACTCCCTCTGATGCCCAGGTTTTCCCCTAAGTTTGAAAAACCGAGCACAGGGAGGGGGGTCCTTTCCCAGCCTGAGAGCCACATTCCTTTCTGAGAGACCCTATGGGGGCCACATGCCAGTAGTGAGTGGGGCCAGAGACAAATGCATGTATTTTTTTCCCTTTGTACAGTAGGGTGGGACGAGGGTGGCGCTGTGGTTTAAACCACAGAGCCTAGGACTTGCTGATCAGAAGGTTGGTGGTTCGAATCCCCGCAACGGAGTGAGCTCCCATTGCTCGGTCCCTGCTCCTGCCAACCTAGCAGTTTGAAAGCACGTCAAAGTGCATGTAGATAAATAGGTACCGCTCCGGCGGGAAGGTAAACAGCATTTCTGTGTGCTGCTCTGGTTCGCCAGAAGCGGCTCAGTCATGCTGGCCACATGACCCGGAAGCTGTACGCCGGCTCCCTTGGCCAATAAAGCGAGATGAGCGCCGCAACCCCAGTCAGCCACGACTGGACCTAATGGCCAGGGGTCCCTTTACCTTTACAGTAGGGTAATTTCTAGACACACTCACACATCCTTCTCTGTGGGGCACTCGGTGCTCGGCGCACACCCCTGAGATGCTTGCCGTTTGCCGCACACACTCCTGATGTGTGCCACGCCCTCCACAGGCGGTGTGCCACACCCCCTGGGACATGCGCCACGCCCCTTGGGATGCACGCCAGCCACACCCCCCAGGTGTACACCACTCCCGGTGCCGGAGCAGGTAGCTTCGCCACTGATTATTTCAGTTCTCTCCATGTGGGGTTGCCTTGGGAAGTCTTCTGAGGCCTGGGGGTCTGCACTTGGTTCCTGAACCTAAGGTTGCCCACCTCTGATTGAGCAGATACATTAAGAACCACTTTCCCCTCCTCATTTCCTCTTGTCCAGTCTGATCAGCATCTGCAGACCTACCGAAAGTCCACCGGTTGGCTGACGTTTGGCAAATGGCTGCAAGAACTGCATGTTGCGTGTTGAACCAAAGGCAAGATTTTTCCGGAAGGGCGGTGGATGCCATTTTGGTAGTCAAGATAACCTCATAGCTAATAGGTAGTTGTTGCAAGCATAAGCTCACCTAGGGTCATGCACTAGCTTTCATATCTTTGCATTTTTAAATAAATTAACAGATCATGGCAACCAGGACAGGTTCCATTTCGCTGGGAGCTGAGTCAGGCCAGATGGAGTTGGCTGTTGCTACGGCAACAGGGGAATTAGGGAGAAGAGATTTGTCTGAAGAGAATTGATCTCAGGTAGATTAGCCGCTTGCTCTTTGAACGATAGAGGTGTGTGCAGACTTGGGGAGGGAGAAAACGCCCAATTTCAATTACTTTGAAAAATATTAGGTCCTAGCAAGACAACTTTACAATAATGAATGGTTCTTCTAAAAACAAACAAACCCCGGTTTACAACAGTTTATGATTCATTCTACTCCCCATAATCTGCAAGTCAGTATTGCCGGAACATTATTATACACTTATTCAGGCATTTAGTATAAATTATTGTGAGAAACAAAATGGCTGAGTAAGGCATCCTGCAGGAAACCTTTGTTCCTTCAGATGTTGTTGGACTACATTTCCCATCACCCCCAGCAATTGACTATGCTCACAAGGGCTTATGGGAGTTGGGAGTCCAACACTGTCATGTTCCCCATCCCTGTCCTAAAGATTCTCATCCTATGAAAGTTAGACTCCTTACAGCAAACAATTTATTTATTTATTTAAGCAATTCAATTTTCAGAAATATCCAGAGTGGCTTACAATAAACTATAAAGACCTAATAATAAGATCAGCAAATTGAAAACAAGAACAGAAAATTGGGGCTCATTTTCCAGAATAAAAAGTGGGAGGTGATCTTTAAGGTAACGGGAGAACCTGCAGCCCTACAGAGGTGGCCAATGATAAGGGCAGTGGTAGCCTGGGTGGTGATAGGTCAGAGCCACTGAGACAGCCTCCCACCTTACCTGGATGGGACTGAGAACAGGAAATGCATGGGTTTGCAGGTGTACCACTGCAGCCAAGAGGTGGTCCTTCTAACCATCACACACAACCCTGACATCACTGGTGCCCTGCTCCAGCCCTCTCCAGGGCTGGATCAAAACACATCAAAGAAGCAATTCCACCCAACGTGTTGTAAACTTCATAGAGGGAAGTTCTGTTGGCAAAAAATGGGACTCCAAAGCGCCATCTGGTGTCATAGTGTTATAATGCATACAGTGGTACTTCGGGTTACAGACGCTTCAGGTTACAGACTCCACTAACCCAGAAATAGTACTTCGGGTTAAGAACTTTGCTTCAGGATGAGAACAGAAATTGTGCTCTGGCAGTGCAGCGGCAGCAGGAGGCCCCATTAGCTAAAGTGGTGCTTCAGGTTAAGAACAGTTTCAGGTTAAGAATGGACGTGGAACGAATTAAGTTCTTAACCCGAGGTACCACTGTATTAGTTCGCAAACTAATACCAGTGTACTGGAAGAAGCAAATATCACCAGTGTGGAAGAAATGATTCTTCAACATCAACTTCGTTGGACTGGTCATGTTGTGCAGATGCCTACTCTATTCCGAACTTAAAAATGGAAAGTGTAATGCTGGTAGTCAACAAAAGAAGTTTAAAGACTGTCTCAAGGCAAATCTTTAAAAATATAGCATAAACACTGACAACTGGGAAACACTGGCTTACAAGCGCTCCAGTTGGAGAACAGCCTTTACCAAAGGTGTCATGGGCTTTGAAGACACTCAAACTCAAGACGCAAGGGAGAAAAGTGCTAAGAGGAAGGCATGCTTGGCAAATCCACACTGTGGTCAACTCCCGCCCGGAAATCAATGTCCCCACTGTGGAAGGACGTGTGGGTCCAGAATTGGCCTCCACAGTCACCTACGGACTCATTGTTAAAACTGTGTTTATGGAAGACAATCTTACTTGGCTACGAGTGATCACCAAAGAAGAAAGAAGAGGAAGAAGAAGTTATAACGCATATAAAGCGCTTTATCTTTACAAATGTAGCTGAGTCCCAGGTAAACTGCAACAATGCCACTATCAGGAGGCCCGCTCCGCCCAACCCCACAGGCCACTACTGGATCAGGAGCAATGGGAATTGCAGCTCAGCAACATCTGGAGAGACCCAACTTCTCCATCTTCGGTCTAAGGCTTTAAATGTGAGCAAAGGAAGCTGTATTACACTGAGGCAGGCTACTGGTCTCTCTAGCTCCATGTTGTCTATATTGGCTAGCACTGGTTCTCTAGATTTTCAGACCATGAGTCCCACCCAGACCTCCCTGGAGATGCTAGATATTGAACCCATGACCTTCTGCATGCAAGGAAAAGGCTCTACCACTGAGCCTCAGCCCTTCCCCTAAATATGAATAAAAGTTTGCATTGTGCTGGGAAGCAAATTGTGAGTCAGTGCAGAAGGTCCAGTTAGTCGTCTAGCTACTAGAAAAAGTATTAGGAAGTTCTCACAGGAAGCCTCACAGTGCTTGAATTTGGGGAGGAAAGGTAAAGGAGCTGTGAAGGAAGGAAACTGTGGCTGCTCAGGCTTGGCTTATCCATGGAGTGATGCAGTACCTACCGTATTTTTCGCTCCATAGGGCGCACCTAGTTTTTAGAGAGGGAAATCAAGGGGGGGAAATCTTATTTCCCCCCCAGCCCCAAAGAGCAGCGTACAGGCTGCGCGCAACCTCTCCCTGCCGGAGGGGTTGCACGCGGCTATGGCACAAGCTAAGACAGTGAGCGGAATGGATCCCGCTCACTGTTTTGCCTTCCTCTTTAGCCGCGCGCAACCCCTCCAGCAGGGAGAGGCTGTGCGGGGCTAAAGAAGCCATAGCCGTGTGCAGCCTCTCCCTGCTGGAGGGGCTGCACACGGCTATCCCTGAAGCCTTCCGAGCACAGTGCAAGTTCCCGCTGTGCTCCTCAGGCTTCAGGTTCCTCTTGCTGAAGCCGGGAGAGCAAAACTCTCCTGGTTTCAGCGAAAGGAACCTGAAGCCTCCAGAACGCAGTGGGAACTCGCGCTGCACTCCGAAGGCTTCAGGGGGCTATCCCTGAAGCCTGGAGAGCGCCTCTTGCTCTCCAGGCTTCAGCGAAAGCAACACGAAGCCTCTGGAGCAAAGAGGAAGCACTCCCTCTGCACTTCGGAGGCTTCACGTTGCTATCACTGAAGCCAAGGAGCCTGCATTTGCTCCATAGGACGCACACACATTTCCCCTTAATTTTGGGAGGGGGAAAAGTGCGTCTTATAGAGCAAAAAATACGGTAATTTGCACTTTCTGAAATGCAGCCAAATGGCTCCAAATTTTGCTATGCAGCTCTCCCGCCAAATAACCCATAGCAAAGGCATAAACTGGCATGACCCATGCACAAAAATGTGCTGTGATCGTTAAAACAGCAAAACAAAAATTTGCATTACGTTAGGGGAAATTACTTGCCATGTGCATTATATCAGGAGAAACGCACATGAAAATGCATACCGCTTAACCCTCCCGATTTATGTGGGACATCCTGGAATTACAGAAGTCATCCCAGCTTCTCATTGGATCCCAGAACACCCCATGGTTTTTTGTGTTGTTGTTGTTTGGTCTCACGCTCTGGTGCAAATCAGCTGGCTCGCACCAGAGCACTGGACCAAAAGATGCTCATTTTTTTGGTCTCGCAAGTCAGGAGGCTCCCGCAAGAGCTTGGGACCAACAAAAATGAGCATCCCAATTCAGATCACCAAGATGGAGATTATGATCATTGTTATTGTTATTGTTATTGTTATTATTTATACCCCGCCCATCTGGCTGGGTTTCCCCAGCCACTCTGGGCAGCTTCCAACAAAGTATTAAAATACAGTGATCTGTTAAATATTAAAAGCTTCCCTAAACAGGGCTGCCTTCAGATGTCTTCTAAAAGTCTGGGAGTTGTTCTTCTCTTTGACATCTGGTGGGAGGGCATTCCACAGGGTGGGTGCCACTACCGAGAAGGCCCTCTGCCTGGTTCCCTCTAACTTGGCTTCTCTCATTGAGGGAACCACCAGAAGGCCCTCGGCACTGGACCTCAGTGTCCGGGCAGAATGATGGGGGTGGAGACACTCCTTCAGGTATACTGGACCGAGTATATATGACAATGTGTATGGAATTTTGTGCCATTTTTTATTTTTATTTTAAGGGGGTGGGAACTGCAAACGGACTGAGCAAGCTGAACTCAATATTGGAAAAATGTGAAAGTGATCGAAATTGGAACGAATAGATTGGGCCATCCCTGTTCCCAGCACTTTTACTTGACTTCCTCTCGACCAGAACTTCCAGGGACTGAGGTGCTCAGACCTCCATGTAAGGCACCTGTTCTGCTGCTAATCTAGGGCCCTCCCCTCCTAGATCTTCTGCATTTAGGATTAGGTTGCTGATGGGAGCGGATTCCCTGACATCTCTCCGACAGGATAATGTAGTGTGTGGCCTGGCCTCCTTGCCGAGGAACTAATTGAATGTCTTTCCAGCTCCTCAGCTTTCCATGGCCAAATTATGGCTCACCTTATCACTTACAAAATGATTAACAAACTAAAGATTTATTACTGTACTCACACCGCTTTACAACTTGGAATGAATGTTTGTGCCATGTTCCGGAAACCTTATTATCTTATTTATTGCTGGTACCTCATAAATACTACCCATTAATCTTCTTCTGAACTGTCAGGTGACAGTTAGCTCTTTTCTCACATGCCCCATCCCCATTTCAGTTTGTGTCGCTGTAATTAGGTACCAGGAACAGCTGATAATGGAAACAGAAATGCCATTAATTGTAGGGTTATTTTCTTCCTGCCAGACATCCGGTCATGGCAGGTTAGGTAACTTTATCACCTTTCAGCTCCAGTTAAAATCAATAACATAGCTGTAGCCATCAAACTGCAAGCATTGCATATTGATATGTCACAAGCTTCTTATTAATGCATACATGTGCAAATGCATTACTGCTTCCAATCGTGAATGAGGGGGGAAATAATTTTTTCTTACTGATAGCAGGTTATTTGACTTTCTACATGTATCACATCATGGCGTGGGGATCTATACTAACCTTCCATTCCTTGTAACCTGTAATCAGGAGTGGGCATTGGTAATACCTTGGATCCTGAATGCCTTGTGACTCGAACATTTTGGCTCCTGAACGCCGCAAACCCAGAAGTGAGTGTTCCAGTTTGCAAACGTTCTTTGGAAGCTGAACATCCAACACAGCTTCTGCAGCTTCCAACCGAGTGCAGGAAGCTCCTGCAGCCAATCGTAAACCACGCCTTGGTTGTCGAACGTTTTTGGAAGTCGAGCGGACTGTCGGGCTCTCCTCTTGGCCAAACTGATAAAGCTCATTTTCCTCCGGCCGGAGGAAATCGCCTCCCGATGTGATTAATGAACTGAGCCTTTGATGAGGCCTCAGGCACATTCCCATCCAGCAGAGAATCAGAGCAGCACACGGAATGATGAGATTTATGGCTACATGGCTAAAGAGTTTTATTTCTCGCTATGCAGACAGCAAAGAAAAATACATCCTTTCTCTACGAAAGCAGAGAGCAACTGAACAACAAAGGAACAAAGGAACAGGAAACCAGCACATCATATCCATCTCCTGTCTCCCGTGAGACTTCCAACAGTATGGAATGTGTGGAATGTAAACAGAGTCTTGTGACTCCAAAGCACTGCTCGGTGGCGAACAGAAACTAACACGGACTTCCGGAATGGATTCTGTTTGACAACCGAGGTATGACTGTGTGGTGCCCTGTGAGAGGCCAAAATTTGACACAATCCCCACCACCATCACCCAACGCTTGCTCTGCCTTCCCGAAACCAGATAAGCGAGGCACTGGGGGTTGGGAAGGAGGTATGAGGGATCCGTCAGGGTCCCCAAAGCTGGGGAAATGCAAAACAAGTGATCGCTAGGCTTTGGGAAGGAGGCGGGAAGGCATGCCCTTGGCTCAGGGAAACTGGTCACACTGTCCTAAATCCCCCTTTGCTGTGTGGTGGTGCCAGAAAAATATATCATGCGGGACACAGAATGAGGAAAGCATAGTTTGGGGAGGTGGAGCAAGCACTGAACCATCCTTAGCCTCACTCTTTAAGCATGCCTGCATGGGAATGGCAGACAGTTTATTCAGTGTGTAACACTACAAAGCCCATGGTGCAAAACTAAATTCCCTGGATATGATAGACACACACTCTTCTTCTCAGATGCTTCCCCTTCCATGACCCACCCCCCTTGCATATTGTTCACCCAACCAGCAAAAAACAACAGTGAGGAATATAGGACTGGGGTGAAGTGATGGGCAGGACTTGGAGGACGGACTCAGGGATTGGGGAGATTAACCCTTAATAAAACATAGAGCTATGCAAAGCCCCCACTTTGGTTTGGACCCCAAGTCAGATCAGGTCTGGCTTATCCTGGGTCAGATAAGGCCAGATCCAAGGTACCAAATTGGGCCCTGAACCAGATCTAGGTGTGGATGTGCACAGACTCACTTTATGACCTCCAAGTCTCCTTCCTATGCTATGATTTTATGAAAACAGAATCACTCATCCTAAGGATTTTCACCCCCAGGTTTCTGTTATTTTCCCCATGTAGGTCCTAAAACCTTGAAAACTCAGGTCAGATGAGGTGAACTGGCAAGTCCTGTCCCAGATTAGCTACCTCACAACTAAACTAGGCTAAGAAAGAAAAAAAATCCGCAAGTTTCCTTGCTGTGAATTGAGAGCTACTGAAGAACTCCAAACAAGATCATTTGTGTGCGGAACAAAGGCTGCATTTAGTACCAAGGTACAGTAGCACAAAAGAGTTAATGCCAGAACTTCAGAAAGCCTATTATGAATCTGTGAAATGTCACAACTCCTTTGCAGTCTGCGAAACACTTTATTTCCTTTTCCTTCTAAAACATCATTATGCTTCAGTAGGCATCGCAGAGTTGAAAGTAATGGAATGAGATCAACATCGCTGTTCTTTTCAGCTAGCGCTACTTTTTCCCTCTGAGAAATTAATCAGGGTGTGTGTGTTTTAATACAGGATTTCTTTAAATACAGCACATTTTATATTTGGCGTTATGTCCTCATTGCAGATGGACTGGCAATATTGTGCCTGGGTTCTTCAATAATGGAATGGGATCAGAAGTAGTGTTACTTCAAGAATGTAATGCCTCTGAACCATCTCTTTGACCATCTGCCAGAGATCCTTTAGCTATGATTCCTGCATTGCAGGAGGTTGGACTAGATGATTCTTGGGATCCCTTCCAATTCTACAGTTCTGTAATTCTCTGGCAAAATACCATTACCAAGGCCCTGCTGATGATAGCACAAACACCATGGCATTGATAGCTAAATAACACATGTAGTTGGATAAAAACCCGTAATGCCAGTTCAAACCACAGGTGATAGAATTGAATTTCCTGATAAATGGCCGTTCAGTTGACAATGAAGCTTTTCCCCATTTGCAAGGTATTACTTGTATTTTTCACAAACCCAATTGCCACGCAAGCATGAATACTATACTTCACCTGTTTGGTGTATTACAGTATTTTAATATTTTTTTGGAAGCCACCCAGAGTGGCTGGGGAAGCCCAGCCAGATGGGCAGGGTATAAATTATTATTATTATTATTATTATTATTATTATTATTATTATTATCTCTCTTGTTTATGAAGCTACGTCATGCAACATGTGACCGCAAAGGGCAATGAAAAATGAGAGAGCCATGCAATGGGTGGTGCTTGACTTTTACCAATAATGTACACTTGTATGCACAGCTCTGCACTTATGCAGAGAGCTCCTGCAGGTTAATGGAAATAATGCAGAAGGCAGAAGGGCAATGCCAGTGAATCATTTTGGAAGACGAGTGGGTGAACCCTCTCTCCATGTTGTGAGCAACAGGATTAGGTCCTGCAATAGTGTTGCCTGCGTAGATTTACGGAGATAGAGCAGGGATCTGGGTTTGCCGGAGGTTCTGGTCCCTGTGTTTGTGGCTCTGTTTTGTGAGCTGCTGCTGGTTTCTGATCGGGAGGCTGTCTGTAAGCAACGGCAGACCTGTCACCAGCGTGGTGGGGCTTTGCCACTCACCTGACCTCCATATAGCTGAGTCACAGCAGGACAGAGAAGAGGAGGGGTGCAATGGTGAGGCCGGTGCGGTGCAAACAAACCAGCGGCGTCAATCTGGAGCTCCTGCTGTTGTGTTTGCACCTTACTTGTTTATTTAATTTATCAATCAAATGTGTATACTACTCTTAAATAAGAGATCCCAGGGTGGCTCACAGAATAAAATACAAAATAAAAAAACCAGCAAATAATTAAACCAAAATAACAAAACAATATCCTCTCCCCTTCCCACAGATACATTTAAAAGGCTGTTGGATATTAATCAGACAAAGGCCAGATTGAAGAGGAACGTTTTCACCTGGCACCTAAAAACATATAATGAATATAGAATAATATATAATGAAGGCGCCAGGCGAACCTCCCTGAGACGTCCGTTCCACTGTCAGACAGCTCTTACTGCCAGAAAGTCCTTCCTGATGTTGATTCGGAATCTCTTTTCTTGTACAGTGGTACCTCGGGTTAAGAACTTAATTTGTTCCGGAGGTCTGTTCTTAACCTGAAACTGTTCTTAACCTGAAGCACCACTTTAGCTAATGGGGCCTCCTGCTGCTGCTGCACCGCCGGAGCACGATTTCTGTCCTCATCCTGAAGCAAAACTCTTAACCTGAGGTACTATTTCTGGGTTAGCGGAGTCTGTAACCTGAAGCGTCTGTAACCTGAAGTGTATGTAACCCGAGGTACCACTGTAACTTGAAGCCATTGGATAAGGTCCTACACTCTGGAGCAAGAGAAAACGAGCTTGCTCCATCTTCCATAAGACAGCCCTTGAGATATTTGAAGGTGGCTATCATATCTCCTCTGAGTCTCCTCTTTTCCAGGCTAAACATACCCAGCTCTGTCAACCATTCCTCCTAAAGCTTGGTTTCCAGACCCTTGATCATCTTGGTTGCCCTCCTCTGCACTCGTTCCAGATTGTCAATGACTAGCAGGTGGCTAGGGTTTGCAGGGACGGACCCAGAAAGTTGGATTGAGGGATGTGGTGGGTCAGATTATGCTCACAGCCCGAAGGTTTCCACCCCGCTGGAGATCATTGGTGCTGTATTTGTCAACCACCTAAGTAAATAAAAAGTTTGGAAGCAACTTGGAAGCAACAGCCTTTAGTTTCAAAATGACAGTCCTCAGTGGTGATGTTCTCCTCTGAGATACTTGCCTCAAACAGGCATGAGGGTGAGAGTTCAGCAACACTTGCAAACTTTGACTAGCCGCTGTGGGATTATTTCTTTGAAGCTGGACTCTGCCAGGTCTGATGTTAATTATCAAAGGCAGAGGAGGTCAGCAAAGGCATTGACACCTATCTGGAGGTGATGATGCTTAATCATCACCACTTACTGAACACTTGAATTGGGCTGCCGGTTGAAGGCAGTTTCTTGGAGACAATAGGTATGTCAGACCTCCTTGGGACACTTTTTGCTGTTTCCTAGAATGTGATTACGTTCGCCCCGCTTTGGGAGAATCTTGAGGTCAGTTTTAATTTAGAGATAACTACTGGATCAAAAACTATAGCCAAAAAAGCTGTTCTATCTCACTTATCCCCACAGAATGAAAATGTCTAGAGTTACCCTGAGGGGAATGAATGAGTATTACGCCATCTTAAACTCTGGGCTCCAGATGTTTGCTGGACCCCAATATTGACAATATCAGAAGTTCCAAAATGTGCTGACCCTTTGCCTAGGAAGGGATTTGTGTGATGTAGCTAGCAGCCAATAATTGTTGAGTTCTATGCAACATCCAGAAGCAATGAGAATTGGAAAAATAAAATGTTCCCAGGATCTATTTTCCACTTTATCAACACCATTTCCAACCAAGCAAGCTTGCTTCTCGGTGATTGCAAAGACCTTTGCGTGGACAGGCGGAGTCCCCCAAACCCTGGGCAGCCCCATGTGGAATAACAACGTGCTATGGGATTAAAATTGGCCACAACCTTATTATGTTTCAGACGTGGGTAGACCTTGGCTCAGGCATTGGGCGTTTATCCCTCCCAGTCCCCCACCGGGGATCTGGGGAACATCTGGGTTATCCAGTGGGGGGGATGGGCTGGCTCTGGAGAACATATGTTCAAGCAGAGAGAGCCCGCCCTCATTACGCTGCCGTCGCAGGGGAGAGCAATGACGACCTCTAGGCGTACAGACAAAGCCTCCCCTCAAACAACCCCTTTAATGGGGAACCCTGGTATCACCACCACAAAGAGGAGGGGGCGTGGGTCACCGCTGCACACGCCCCCCCCCCCATTCAGGGAAGATAGACTAAAGGATTCCGCCCAAGCCCTGATACCGCCAAAGTTGTGACATTTTGCTATGGGAAAGGCAAACCTGCCAATGCAGGGGAATTCCCTTCCGGCCCTTCAACAGCGACCCTGACGTAGCAGCGCCTGCGTACCGGTAGAGAAAAGGTTAACTTGCAAAAGAAGTCTTAACTGAGGGTGGGTAGGGTGGGAGAAGCTCTGGAGCCAACTGATGTTTCCCAGGTAAGATCCTCCCCCTATTGTGTGGGCAGGTAGTCCCTCCCCCTACCTGACCTGATAACCTAGGCAACGCTTCCCCAGGCGGGATTGGGCAACTGACTGAGGTAGGTGGAGACCTCCAGGTATCCCACCTGGGGGGAGGCGAAGCCAAGCCTCTGCTAATGGAGCTGCATAGGGTCCAGGGGCTGTGTGCGACCACGCAAAGGGCGCCCCCATTTAATGTGGGGAGCAGTCATTGTTGCTTTCATTCTCTGCTTTGCAAAGGACTCATCGGTATATTTAAAAGAAAGTGCTGAACCTGCTGTCTCTGCACTCTTGTTTTTTTCATTGCCAAAAAGCTAGCCTGTCATGAATCTGATAGAGGTCCGTCTGCTATGCAGAATAGATCAATCATGGCTCCATCAGGGAAAGCATTTATTTTTGGAACAAAGGAAGGATAACAAATTGAATCAGAAACTCATCATATACTGGAGCCATTGACACTTGTTGTCAGCATGTAACTTTTACTAAACATGGTAAAGGCTGGGGACCGTTTCATCTGCTCTAAAATCCAGACTGGAACCATGGTGGTAGTGTTTCCAGAGTGAATCCAGAACCTGCTGCTTTTTAGCAAGTTCTAGTCCAGGTCCAGAAGTAAAGGAATGCCTTCTGTGAAAGGAGGGCGATTGAGAAGGAAAGCAAGGTTGGGGAAGGGCCTACCCAGACCTATATCTTATTTGGAGGCCCTGTTCTATGTACCATCACCAAGAGAAGAGAAGTGGGTGCCCACCAAGATGGGCAGTGGCACCCCAGTTATGAAACAGCCTCCCCAAAGAGACTCACCCAGTGCCTTCTTTGTGGTCATACTGGCATCATATTATTGTTCACCCATTTTTTTTCTTTTAAATCTAGCCTGTTTTATGCAATTTCACATTTAATTTGTATACCGCTGTCAAGGCTGCCTCAAGTCTTAGCTCACAAAAGACCAACGCCTACGTCTTCTTGTATACAAAGGTGTTTATTGCAGTTCATGGTTTGCTTGGCATCCTAGGCGCGCAGCCTTACGTCTCTTACGCTAGACCGCCGAAGTCCCCTCTGAGTCAGTCCCTCCTCTGCACCAATTTAAGAGACTTGCGCTGCTCCACCTCTTTCTCTCCTTCCTTTTCCGCAGGGTCCTTCTACCCACTGGGGTTTCCCCCCTCCTGGATTCCTCTGAAGCGGAATCAGACTGCTCTTCCCCCCTCCTGCGGGCTTTGGGACCTGGCCCCTCCTCCGGGCTCCCTGCACTTCCGCGCGCCTCTACATTTGAACTAGGCGCGCGCGCCAAACCTCTAACTTTCCTTTTGACAGTTACACTACTCCCTTCACTGCTCCCCTCCCTTTCCGGGAGGGCGGCTTGCTCTGACCCCCCTCCTTTCTCTGCTGCTGGAGCTGCTTCCTCTGACACACTGGAAACTCCACCCCCTTCGCTGCACTTTGGTGGGGAGGCTGGTCCTGACGCCCAGCTGCCACTTTGGGATCCTCCGCTGGCACCCTGCTCCTGACACTTCCCCCCTGGGGCTTCCCTGGCCTTCACCACCGGCGCCCCCTTCTGGGAATCCTCTGATTCGCTGGAAAGACTCATGGAATCCCTTGAGTCATTGTCATCCTCTTCCTCGCTGGCTTGGAATTCCTCCCCCTCGCTCTCCATCTCCTGCCTACCCTGTGCCTCTCTCCCTGAACCCCTGACAACCGCCTTCCTATATTACTACACACAAGGCAGTTTACAAGCTGAAAAACCAATGAAATGTTCTCCTTTTATTTTTTGGTGATCTTAATTGTTATGTATTATATTCTCATGTTGTTTTGCTTGTAAATGTTCTTATGAATATTTTGCATTATTCTAAACTGCTCTCTCTCTGTGTGTGTACACAGTTTTTTAAATGAATGAATGAATGAATGAATAAATAAGCATGCAAGCAAGCAAGGAAGGAAGGAAGGAAGGAAGCCACCCTGGGAATATTTACTGAAGGCCAGCTATGTATTATATGTTCATTTAAAAAGAAGAAGAGTGGAGCCTATCAATAACGTCCCCCAATAATGTCTCCACCCCCCTCACTGAATCAGAGGACTCGGGGTTGGTCGCTGGTAATATCCTAAACATTCATTTTATTACTGAGCTACAAAGATCATGATCTCGACTTGATATCTTATGAAACTCCTTCCTTCCCCGGAGGGGGCCGCTAGGGGTGCATTGGAAGATGGCCGACAATACCATCTCTCCGGCTCACACGAGGTAATTAAGAGGCTGATATGGGAGTATGCAGTCTCCCTTGTTACCCCAAGGGAATGGGGAACACTGCCTCGCCTGCGGTTGCCATAAATCACCCCCGGATTCGAAAGAAGGGGGTGAGGGCACTAGGCGCACAACCCTCGTGTGGGACGGCTCTCCCAGACGCTGTCTCTGATCGCGCGACCTGGTTGCAAGAGCTCAAAATAAACAATTAGAGAGAAGCAAATGCACATATTTCGAGTGAAGATCGGGAGATAAGACTGCTAATTGAAGTGACCTCTGTGAAGTGGAGCGACAGGTTGGATTCAACAATACATCAAGAAGAAGATACATCAAAGGGTCGGTATGTTGGAACGGGACTGAAAGGGGGGGGGCTTTTCTTTTTTTATCTTATGTGAGTACCTAACAATCCTCCCCCCAAGAAGAATCGTTGCAATTACTGATCATAAGCAGGATGATTAAGAACTGTGTGGAAATAAATTACTAATCAAAGACATGGCATGTGGAATATCTGGAAAGGAATGAAAGGTCTTTGTGACGCAGTTATAAAAAGAGACTCGTTAGGGCAGGCTATAGGATTTATGATCCTGATCAAGGAGGAGGAGACCACGGCTTGTTATTATATCAGACTGTGAGTTTGATCTGGCAGAACCCCCTAAGAAGATTGAGGAGAGACTGACAGGCCTGCAAGGATTAATGGGCAGACTTTAAGAATGTTTTGTACGGAAGTGCGGAAATGGCGTTTGTCTGTTTAAATATGGCTCTTGGAACGGAAAATCCACACAGGATATAACAACGTTTGTTTTCAACCCACTTGTGGAGACTATCAGAGGTCACAAAGAAAGGAATATATGACAACAACAACAAGAAGATGAGGAAAATAATAAAGAGAAGATTGAACAGAACTGTGAATACTATCTGGACAGAACTGTGAACATTAAAGCAGTAGCAAGAGAGATGTTTGGATCCCTTTCTGAGCTCGAAGAATGGGTACCCCCAACAAAAATTTAAAAATTTGGCTGTGTAATTTGGAATCAATGTGATTTGATTGGTTTGTTAATAAAAATTATATTTAAAAAAAAAAAGAAACTCTTTCCTTCCCCATCTTTGGGCTGCAAAGAAAAATAGACATGTTAAAAATTAGAGGGGAAGGAGAGAAGGGAGAGCCAATGTAGTATGGTGGACAGTTGTAACGAGAAACCGAGGTTGGGGGGAGAGCCACCACCTCGGCGTGGACCACCTTAAGCTTGCTGGAGGAAAGGTGACGGGCTAAATAAGTAAATAATCCAGAATAGCGATCAAAATGCTTCTTGGACCCAGGCAGAGGCATAGCAAGGTCAGGTGGTAGCCGGTGCAGAATTTTTTTTGTCACACACACCCCACACACATTGACAGCTCGGGGTAGGCTTGGGAGTCTCAGGCAGGTGGCGCGCCAAATGTCACCCCCCTCAGCGATGACACCCAGGGTGGTCCACAACCCCTGCAACCCCATTCCTATGGCTCTGGGCCCAGGAGTGCCCATCGCCCACCCTTGACACACTCTCTCTCTCTCATTTCCTGCTTAAAAGAGAACAGTAAGTTCCTAAAGGTATGCAGGTGGCGCTGTGGGTTAAACCACAGAGCCTAGGACTTGCCGATCAGAAGGTCGGAGGTTCGAATCCCCGTGACGGGGTGAGCTCCTGTTGCCCAGTCCCTGCTCCTGCCAACCTAGCAGTTCGAAAGCACGTCAAAGTGCAAGTAGATAAATAGGTACCACTCTGGCGGGAAGGTAAACGGCGTTTCCATGCGCTGCTCTGGTTCGCCAGAAGCAGCTTAGTCATGCTGGCCACATGACCCGGAAGCTGTACGCCGGCTCCCTCGGCTAATAAAGAGAGATGAGCGCCACAACCCTAGAGTCGGTCACGACTGGACCTAATGGTCAGGGGTCCCTTTACCTTTACCTTTAAGTTCCTAAAATGGCAGCTGTGGGGCTGACAGCCCAAGGATTGTTTGGAACACTAATGGCTCCCAAGCTCTGTCTGTGACAATTCGCTTCAAAATCAAGGCTTTTTTGTTCCTCCAGTGAATAAACAGTGTACCATGTTATTCGTCTATGCCTGAAAGGATAGTAAGCGCTACAAATCCTTACAGGCCTAAGTATAGCAAAGCAATAGTTTTTTCTTCATGCTTGGAGTTCCCACAAGAACTTCAGCCACAGTCTATCGAGAAATTGAGTGGTGACACTTCTCGGAAACGTCCATTCAAAGCATAGAACCACTAATTATGTATTGTGCCTAATTTGTGCCTTGCAGAAGGTATTATTTTGCTTAACTGAGCAAATGCCTATTCTATTATAACAATTATGGATGCTACATGCCATGTTACATGCTGCTAGCTGTCAAATGCTTGAAAAGCACCAAGAGAGGTTCATTGGTCATCGTGCGCTCTTCTGCAGCTTGGCCTAGCGCAAGGGTGACCTGCAGAACTGGTGGATTCCAACTCCTATCAGCCCCAGCCAGCATGGCCATTGGTAAGAGATCATAGGAGATGGAGTCTGCAATCTCTAGAGGGACCAGAATGGCTGCCCCCAGCCTAGTGGGACATTAATGTCATCCATAGGCACCAGGCAGCTTACCCAGTCTTGGCATTTGTTGCAACACCCATGATTACGTGTGAAGAAATATCTGAGGAAAGAGATCTTGCAATAATAATAATAATAATAATAATAATAATAATAATAATATATTACTTATATCCCACCCATCTGGCCAAGCCTCCCCAGCCACTCTAGGCAGCACCCAATAGAATACAGTGGTGCCTCGCAAGACGAAAAGAATCCGTTCTGTGAGTCTCTTCGTCTAGCGGTTTTTTCGTCTTGCGAAGCAAGCCCATTGACGGATTAGCGGATTAGCGCTATTAGCGCTATTAGCGGCTTTTAGCGGCTTATCAGCTTATCGGATAAGCAGATAAGCGGCTTAATGGCTTAGAAAAAGGGGGGGGAGGGGAAAAAAACCGCAGGAACTTGCAAGACATTTTTGTCTTGCGAAGCAAGCCCATAGGAGCTTCGTTTTGCAAAGCACCTCCAAAATGGAAAACTCTTTCGTCTAGCGAGTTTTCCGTCTTGCGAGGCATTCGTCTTGTGGGGCACCACTGTATTAAAAACACAATAAAACATTTTTAAAAATTCCCTAAACAGGGCTGCCTTCAGATATCTTCTAAAAGTCAGATAGTTGTTTATTTCCTTGATATTTGATGGGAGGGCGTTCCACAGGGCGGGCACCACCACCGAGAAGGCCCTCTGCCTGCTTCCCTGTAACCTCACTTCTTGCAGTGAAGGAACCACCAGAAGGCCCTTGGAGCTGGACCTCAGTGTCCGGGCTGAACAATGGGGATGGAGACGCTCCTTCAGGTACACTGGGTCAAGGCCAGTATGTCACTGCAGCCCAGACATTAAAACTCAAAGTGGTCATATAAGTAAAAAAATCTTCATCAAGAGCCCCTGATGTTTTCTCCTACATTCTGAGAGTGAGGTATATCTCAAATGATTATCAAGAGAGAGAAGTCCTTTGTAGAGTTAATGAGCAAGATTTAAATATCCTGAATAGCTCCAGAAGGGCTGCATTTGAACTTTGAAAGTAACAGTACTGGACAGCATGGTGGGATGGCAATACACACCTGGCCTCCCAACAGCTGAGTTGCTATTGGGTAGGGGCATGGCAACAGGGAGGCCTATGCAGTGCGAACACACCAGTACAGCCATTGCAGGATGCTCCTGGTGCTGTGCTTACACCACACCAACCTCCCTGCCACCTTGCCCCTCCCAGTGAATGAGAGAGATGAGTTACAGCTTAATTTGCTAGCATCCATATAGTCCTTGGGATTATATTGGAGCCCCGCCAGCTCCCATCTTAGCCTGTCCATGTATTGTTGTTGTCTACTAATCGTCTTCTTAGGTTGCCTGCTACCATCAGAAGAAAACTCACAGCATCCCTCCAGGAAATCCTATATTGCAGGTCACATGTTATGTTCCTTAACATGATTGCGAACACAGTAGAAGCCTTGCCTCTAAACTAGGGCTGCCATACATCTGGAGTTCCCCGGACATTACCAGGATTTCAAAGGTGTAATTGATGTCTGGGGAAAATTTCAGAAATGTGGTGCTTTGTCCTGGATTTTAGGCAAGTCAATCAAAAAAATCACACTTTTTCTGGCGTTCTTGCAACCCTACTCTAAAAGCCTCAGGAAAAATGCAATGAATATCAAATTTAGCTTCTATTTGACTTCAATAGGTGATGCTATAATAATTTTCTGATAAAATTTAGGTGTTCACCCTCCTTCTTTAGCAGCACCCCAAGGCCCATTATAATCAGTGGGGGTCCTTTTTCACTCCTGAGTTGAAGCTGCTTTGATCTTAATGTTATTGTTTTTGTCTTTCTGTGAGCATTTAATTGTACAAGATGTATTTCTGCATTAGCCATGGTAATTCACATTGCTTTCCTTTCTTTTCTTTTTAAATGGCTTTCACACAGAGGCAAACTTGGGATGGGAGGGCAAGAGAACAATATAGTAAACAAGCAATTTTTTATGCCTGTAGCCTTTTCCTGAAGCCCTCTCATTTCTAATTATGAAAACCAGTCTCTCTCACACTTTTGCCCCTAATTCTGCCTGGTTACTTGGACTCGGTCAGATTAGAATGTTAGGTTTGTGACATCACCTTCAGCTGCCATGGCAACGCTTGGGTTGCCACCTGAGGATTCCACAGCTTCATGAAGGAGGAGACTAAAAGGAAGGAACTCCTTCAGAACAGTCTTTTAAAAAAAAGTGATTATTACTCAATTATTAAATTGATAGTCATTTCCTTTCACAATTTCATGTGTTGCTTACATCCCGCTCTTCCTTCCTGGGCAGCCAGCAATGTAAACAGGAATTCAATTAATGCAAAATATCAGACTAAAAATCAATGCAACAAAAACTCATATCAAAATATAGTATTCAAATGCCAAATGCAGATTGAAACAGTGTCAGCAATACAGCGTACCTGGTTAAATCTGTAAGAATTAATTCAGAAACATGGCACTTTGAGAATTTGGAGAAATCGGAGACATCTTATGTATCAAGCAACAAATAAATGTAACATTTTAAAGAGGGGGTCTCCTTCTAACTTTGATGTTTCTACCCCATATCCCTATATCCCCATTTTTCTAACCATATAGGAGAGACCAGTCACATGTGCCTTTCCCTCCCAATCAGAACCCTGATGGAAGAGTAGATGCTAATCAGGTGGGAGATTCAGGTAATCTGCCCCACTCATGTGGTTGGAATATTTACAGTCACTCATCAGCAGTATGGGATTCCGCCACAAGGATGTATGGATCCCCTACTGCAGGTGACATAAGAAAAGGGGAGTTCTTAAGTTTCACAGTCAGCTCCCACTATGATCTACCCTAGGGGTGGAGAATCTGTGTGAACCTCCAGATTGTTAGACTCCAACTCCCATTGGCCCCAGCCAGCATGGCCAATGATCAGGGATGGATAGTAGTTATTAAGGCGGCAACATCTGGAGGACCAGAGATGGTCCCCATCTATGGTCTATATGAACTGGCAGAAACTCTCCAAAGTTTCAGACAGCAGTTGTTTCCAGCACCACTTGGAGATGCCCAGAATTGAATCAGAACTTTTTGCATGGGAAGAATATGCTCCAGTAATGGATCCAAATGCATAAATATTCTGTGTGTAATTCTAAAAATGCTTTAGGATCATATAATTGGAAGGGATTGAACTTGCAACCATAGCATTATCAGCACTGTGCTCTAAATAACTGAGCTATCCAGGCTGACTAATCAAAAGTGATTCTTGTTGAGGCCAATGGGACTTATTCCAAAGTCAGTGAGTGCTTAGGATCATACTTTACAGCCTACCCTATCCTATGTATGCCAACTTGGAAGAAATTGCATCCAGTGGGGCTAGCAAGTAGATAAGAAGGGACTCTGCCTAACACTGAGTCAGCCCATTGGCCCATCTAGCTCAATATTGTGCATAAAGAGTGGCAGCAGCTCTCCAGGGTTTGGGGCAGGGAATATTCCCAACCCTACCTGGAGATGATCAGGACTGAACGAGGGACCTTCTATATGTTAGCAGATGCTTTACTGTTGAGCTGCAGCCCTTCCCAACATACGGTAAATGTGTTTTCTGTATGCGTTTCCTTGGTATTAGGCCTGGGGTTCACTTCAGAATAGACATTGATTGCCGTCGATGCCAAATTTGACACTTTTACCCTCTTTCCTTTCCAACACCCTTCAGTCGAATAGCATCCATCACTGGAGATAACGGGATGAGAAATTAAGAGAGCATAAATCATTTCGCTATAAATACCAGTCTGCAAAAAATGGTACTTTTCGCAAGGAAGCAGATCAGAAAAATTTGCTTGAGAATTCCCTCCACTCCTAAGACCATTAAGAAGAGTCTGCTAAAGTAGACCAGTGGTCCATTTAATCGAGCATCCTCCTCTCATGTGGCTAGCCAGATACCTGTGGAAAGCCTGCAAGCAAGACATGCTGAGTACAGCAGCACTCTCCCTTCCTGTGGTTTCTAGCAACTGGTATTCAGAGTCATTGTGTCTCTCACAGTGGAGGTAGAACATAGCCATTGTGACCAGTAGCTGTTGCCTAAAGGTAAAGGGACCCTTGACCGTTAGGTCCAGTCGCGGACGACTCTGGGGTTGCGGCACTCATCTCGCTTTATTGGCCGAGGGAGCTGGTGTACAGCTTCCGGGTTATGTGGCTAGCATGACTAAGCTGCTTCTGGTGAACCATAGCAGCGCACGGAAATGCCATTTACCTTCCTGCCGGAGCGGTACCTATTTATCTACTTGCACTTTGAGGTGCTTTCGAACTGCTAGGTTGGCAGGAGCAGGGACCGAGCAACGGGAGCTCACCCCGTCGCGGGGATTCGAACCACCGACCTTCTGATCGGCAAGCTAGTGTGGTGTAGTGGTTAAGAGCGGTGGACTCGTAATCTGGTGAACCGGGTTCGCTTCCCCGCTCCTCCACATGCAGCTGCTGGGTGACCTTGGACTAGTCACACTTCTCTGAAGTCTCTCAGCCTCTCACTCACCTCACAGAGTGTTTGTTGTGGGGGAGGAAGGGAAAGGAGATTGTTACCCGCTTTGAGGTTCCTTAGGGTAATGATAAAGCGGGATATCAAATCCAAGTCCTAGGCTCTGTGATTTAGATCACAGTGCCACCAGTGTCCCTAGCCCTTATTTCCGCTTCCCCATACCTGCCTTTCTTTTCAGCTCTACCACATGCCAGTGGCATTATTTGGAAAACCTGGAGCAAAATGAAACTGGCCTGAAGGCAGAGGCAAAGTTAGGAGGGTGTACTTCAGAAGGCCATCCTTAAAACCAATTTTACGAACCAGCTCCCTCGGAGCAGAGCACAGCTGGGATGCTGCGCCATTTTGCATACAAAGGACCCTCTCGTTCTCTGCGTGAACTATCGCACATCTCTTAATAAAAAGGGGAAAGAAAATTGCTCTTCGATGGCCATGATGAGCCCTTGGATGCATAACAACTCCTTTAGCAACTACGATATTGCTAGACACAAATCCTGCCATATTATTAAGCAGTTCTAAGCACCCGAACAATGTAATGGTTCCTTCGAGACATATTATATAACACAAGGTAAAACATTATGGAAAATTGTCTTTAATTTATTCATAGTTTGGGGAATCAGAAGGGAGCACTGAGGAAGTGGAGGGAACCGATACAGATTATGCGGAAGAGCTGCACACTATGTCAAAGGACGCCTTATTTGCTCGCCGTGATGCCTGCTCCATATGTCAAGACATTAGTGGGAAATAGGTAGCAGAAAGGAGCCGTAGCTCATTGGAGGAGAACTTGCTTTGCATGCATAAGAGCATAAGGAGAGCCCTGCTGGACCAGACCAAAGAACCCTCAAATCCAGCATCCTGTTTCTCATACTGGCCAGTCAGATGGCTTCAGAAAGTCCACAAGCAGGCCATACAGGTGTTAGCCCTTTCCCACTTATGCTCCCTAGCAAGTGGTATTCATCAGCATGCCACCCGTGAACCTAGAGGTGGTGTCTCAGGTTCAGTCCTCGCATCCATCACAGGTTAACAACAAAAACTAATGCTATTCTAGACTGCATTAACAGAAGTACAGTGTCCAGATCAAGGGAAGTAATAGTACCACTCTATTCTGCCTTGGGACACGGGTGGTGCTGTGGGTTAAACCACAGAGCCTAGGACTTGCCAAGCAGAAGGTCGGCGGTTCGAATCCCTGCGATGGGGTGAGCTCCCGTTGCTCAGTCCCTGCTCCTGCCAACCTAGCAGTTCAAAAGCACCTCAAAGTGCAAGTAGATAAATAGGTACTGCTCCAGTGGGAAGGTAAACGGCATTTCCGTGCGCTGCTATGGTTCACCAGAAGCAGCTTAGTCATGCTAGCCACATAACCCGGAAGCCTCCCTCGGCCAATAAAGCAAGATGAGCACCTCAACCCCAGTCGGTCACGACTGGACCTAATGGTCAGGGGTCCCTTTACCTTTACCTTTATTCTGCCTTGGTCAGACCACACCTGGAGTACTGTGTCCAATTCTGGATGCCACAATTTAAGAAGGTTGTTGACAAGTTGGAGCATGTGCAGAGGAGGGCAACAAAAATGTACAAGGGTTTGGGGGGGAAGCCTTATGAGGAACAGTTGAAGGAGTTGGGTATGTTTAGCCTGGAAAAGAGGAGACTCAGAGGACATATGATAGCCATCTTCGAATATCTCAAGGGCTGTCTTATGGAAGATGGAACAAACTTGTTTTCTCCTGCTCTGGATGGAAGGACCCGAACCAATGGATTCAAGTTACAAGAAAGGGGATTCCAACTAAACATCAACTAAACTTTCTAAGGGTAAAAGCCGTTCAACAGCGGAACAGTCTGCCTCGTGAGGTTGTGGATTCTCCTTTCTTGGAGGTTATTAGCAGAAGTTGAGTGGCCATCTGTCGTGGATGCTTCAGCTGAGATTCCTGCATTGCAAGCAGTTCGACTAGATGACCCTTGCGGTCCATTCCAACTCTACAATTCCATGATTCTGTTTTTCTAAGGGGTCCTGCCAAACCTCCCTCCAAACTGCTTGCTTATAACTTCCCAGCCATCTTCAAAATGTCTGTTCAACTGGGACAAGGTGTGCTGACACGTGCATGTAGAACATGCAATCTGTGCCCAATCCCTGCAGCCGTAAGGTATTTTATTATTCAAATTGGAACACCATGTCCACTTTCTGCCTCCACCACAGTGATGGCTATGTGATATTCTCACAAATGTACTGCTCACAGGATGACAGATTTCCAAAAATGCAAAAGAACAATATTTCCTATCTTCTCCCTTCTTCTCACTGACATGTTAATTGACATGCCAGATAATGAAGTCATCAAATTATAATAATTTGGGGGGAAATCTATTATTGACTCATCGTGCTGCATACTTTATATGATCTCCCTATGCTAATTACTTGTACAGATCCTGCGGCTAAAAAAAATAAATAGTGATTCAGTTTTATTTTATTTTTAACAAGGGACTGTCCCTGCTTGCTCTGCTTACCAACCACCCTGCTATTTCACCATATTAACTTCCTAGAGTTTCCCCTTTCCACCCCATGCAACTACCGATCTTGCTTTTCACCTTCTCAACCCCATTTCTGAAGCCACTTCTCTCTTCTATTCTGCAGCCCTGCTTTACATCCTTGTTTTTACCTTCACCCCATGTCCATCCCTTCTCCCCCTCCTTTTGTGCAACCCCCCCATGCACACAAAGCAGCCCCAAAGTAACCTCCTGCATCTTGCTCCTCCCCCCCCCCCAGCAACTACAAAGCACCCTTTTCACCTTCTGCCCAGTTGTGAGGTCACCATCCTCTCCTATTCTGCAGACCCTCTCATGACCCAGCTTTCATCTTCAGCCCCATCCCCATGCTTCCTGCTCCCTCCCACCTTTGCACCCCCCCCCCCAATTTTCCCCATCGTTGCCGTTTTTCTTCTTCTCTCCTTGCTTTTTCAGCTTTCATGGGCACACAGATCACCTCCGTTTCCATGCCTTACAATACGATAATACAATATGATAATCTTTATTGTCATTGTCCCATACAGAACAACGAAACTGAAAAATCTACATAAGACATTCAAAAACCAACAAGCCTGCTATCCCAGCTATCCCAAGTTGGTTAGCCCCCTAAAAACTCTGATACCCCATAATTAAATACAATATACTCCCATAGAGACTCCTTAAAGGTAAAGGTAAAGGGATCCCTGACCATTAGGTCCAGTCATGACCGACTCTGGGGTTGCGGCGCTCATCTCGCTTTATTGGCCGAGGGAGCCGGCGTATAGCTTCCTGGTCATGTGGCCAGCATGACAAAGCCACTTCTGGTGAACCAGAGCAGCACACTGAAACGCCGTTTACCTTCCCGCCGGAGCGGTACCTATTTATCTACTTGCACTTTGACGTGCTTTCAAACTGCTAGGTTGGCAGGAGCAGGGTCCGAGCAACGGGAGCTCACCCCGTTGTGGGGATTCGAACTATCAACCTTCTGATTGGCAAGTCCGAGGCTCTGTGGTTTAACCCACAGCACCCCCCGCATCCCTTAGAGACTCCTTACACTGCGTTTAAAACCAAAATCACATTTGGATAGAAACTGTTTCTCAGGCGGCTAGTCCTAGTCTTTATAACCCTGTACCTTCTTCCAGAAGGCAGAAGCTGAAAGAGATCATTTCCTGGGTGCGTACTATCCTGCGCTATCTCTGCAGCTTTCTTATGGCACCTGGAAGCATAGATTTGATCCAAGGTGGGAAGAGTGCACACCCAGTGCTTTTTTTCTGGGGGGACGCATACCCCTAAACATTTTGTGAATCTAAGTTTGGCCTCATTGAGGGGCAGTATTTCAATATGCGTAGGAAATTTGAGTACCCCTAAACATTTTTTTAAAGAAAAAAAGCACTGCTTACTCCTATTGTGCAGCCTCCCTTTTTACACATTTTGTGCGCACACACACACACAGACACACACACAATTATCATCTTCACCCTTTTCCCTGCCTCCTCCTTCCTCCGTTTTCAACTTTCCCTTACAGACAGACAACCCTGATTCTGATCACCGGGTCTCCTCCTCTCTGCCATTTTCCACTTCCCTTTGTGCACACCCTATGCTGGTCAATGTTACAGTATCTTTTTGAATCTTTAAGACCAATCCTGTCAGTTATCGTTTTCAGTTTGAGAAAGTGATGTTCGTGCGATGGATGTTGGTATGTATATGAGTGTTTGCTTGTTAATAAAATATCTCTTCTAAACTACTACACTGAATCTGGAACTTCATGTGGTAAACTGCAGAGTGAAATGCATTGTGAGAAGGTGCAAATAATAAAATTATTATTATTATTATTATTATTATTATTATTATTGATGCAGAGCCCTCAGATGTTGCATTGTAGTGAGGTATTTTACTGAAACTTCTGCCATTGTTTAAAATTGCCATTTCCCTCTCAATTTCCTCCATCCCTGCTTTGCTCAAAGTTCAGCTGTTATTTTAAACCACTACTTGCCCCCTCTCAGTGTTCCATCCTTCTCACGCTTATGCCATGGCCACTGTTGTCGTGCAATCTGCCTTCTCTTCTGCTGCCCTACCCAGCCCCGACTTCACGAAAATTGAGAGCTGTGATGCAGCACTGCAAATCCTCCTTACATTTTTAAGCAAATAAGAAGAAAAGCTGTCTCCAACCACAGACCTGAGTACATACCCTAATAAATTTAATGAGCTATAAGAATGTCATTTTAGCCACCAAAGTCCAACTGGAAGATGTTAGAAAAACCGAATTCTTCTTCTTCTTCTTTGCCACTTGGCTGAAGTGACATTTTCAGGAATGTTGTTAGCAAGAATCCTGTGTGTCGTGATTTTATTATAACCAAGAAGGACCAATAATGTAACACAGAAGTGGAGACAGGAAGAGGACAGTGTGATAATAATGAAATATTTTCTCCTCGTGGTGGACAGACTAAAAGCTCATGTCCTGCTTATAAATGTCAGTATTTCTTCCTGCACTTTAACAGTCTCTCTCTCTCTCTCTCCTTCCCTCCCTCCCTCCACCCCCACCCCAATAGCTGGTAGGTTATAAGCAATACATTTTACTATATGAAAAAAGGTTTGACATGGCTGTCATCCCGTTGAGCTGACCTATGGATGCTATTGATCCATTCGCTCATTTCAATTTCTAATCCACCCAATCACAAAATGCCTGGAGCAAGTGGGGAACACGTAAAGCAATGAGCCAATAAATAAACCAGTTGATAAAAAAAATACCCCATTACAGTACAAAATACTGTCCACTGACAAAATGCACTATTTGATTATCTCAAGAGTAGCCTATGCGAAGTCCTCTAAGTGATGTAGACTACAACTCCCATCATTCCTGGTCATTGAGGTCCAGCACCGAGAGCCTTCTGGCGGTTCCCTCACTGCGAGAAGCCAAGTTACAGGGAACCAGGCAGAGGGCCTTCTTGGTGGTGGCGCCTGCCCTGTGGAACACCCTCCCACCAGATGTCAAAGAGAACAACAACTACCAGGCTTTTAGAAGACATCTGAAGGCAGCCCTGTTTCGGGAAGCTTTTAATGTTTGATGTATTATAGTATTTTAATATTCTTTTGGAAGCCGCCCAGAGTGGCCGGGGAAGCCCAGCCAGATGGGCGGGGTATAAATAATAAATTATTATTATTATTATTATTATTATTATTAGGCATGCTGGATGGGATGGATGGGAGTTGTAGTCCACACATGTTCTGAAGGATCCCATGTTGGCTACCCTTGCACCAGGCCAAGCTGCTGACTGAGTGCAATGAGCACATCGCCTTTCATGGGACCAAAATCCCGATGCAGCAAGAAGCAGAAAGCACTCCTGCAGAAAGATCTGTTCTCCTATATACTATACATTTTAGAAAGTGTTCTATTTGTCCATCTGTTTGCTATAGGTGTGGCTACCTCTCAATGTACTGTCACCAAACTTGGCATGAAGGTTCCCACAGTCTTCATTGATGTTCAGATGGCAGGCACCATATTGATTCAAGATGATGGACCAAAATATGACATTGGCATGATTTCACCTTTTATTTTTATTTTTCCTTTTCTTTTTCCTTTTCTTTTTTGCATAGGTGACGATGTCTCTTGAAATACTGAAGTGGGAGTGGCAATTTACATCAATGTTTGAGTGCAATTTTGAGTCAAGATGGCAGGACAAAATGTGGCTTTGGTGTGAATTTGCCCAATTTTTGGCATGATGGGGCAAATTCGCAAATTGCACTACCCATTTGAAAAACACAATAATTTTTGGTTTCTACAAATTCCCAGGCAGTGCCAGGCAGCCTCCGCTACTTCACCATACTGGGGAATCTAGAAATGGCTCTAACGTGTCCTTCTTTTGACCAAAGTGGATGGAATTTACAGGCACAGTAGCCCCTCCAAGTTGGATTAAGCGTGTAAAGTTGCAAACAAATAGGTCCAAGGGCAATTGTGGTGGAAGCAAAAGGAATTCACTTTCCTCCATAGTTCATGAAGGGAGGGGGGGTGGAAGAGAAGAAGTCTGTCTCTTTCTTATGCTTAGGAGATGAGCAAGCAGTGTGTAGTCCTACTTGTACATTAAAAAAAACTTTGCGGCTTCACAACAGCCCTTCCTTTCCAGTGCTTCTGTCCTCCAGTAGACATTATAGGCTTGAAAAGGTCTTACACTTCTTCAATGGACTTTATAACATTGGGCTTTCCAAAACACTGTCTGTGGAGTTCTGAAAAGCTCTGAATTGTTGTTTTCCATAAAGCAGAGCATCACCGTTTGTTTGTTTGTTTGTTTGTTTGTTTGTTTGTTTGTTTGTTAAAAAGAAAGCTTAAATGAAGCTTTTAACTTTCAGAACTGCAAGCATTCCACATCTGGCAGAACACTGATTGGATTACAGGCCCAGTGCATTATGGGAAACTCCTTGCTAAACCTGGTTCCCTCTGCTAGGCCTAAGGCATCCCAAAATAGAGGAGAGTCCCTACTACATAGATTGACAAGATAGCAAGACGAGAGAACCCCTTCCTGCTGCAAAAGTTGGGAGTCTGGAGGGACGGGATTATTAAAATGTATTTGAAAGAAAGATTGAGTTTTGTGCTCCCGGCATTTGCTGCAAATACAGTCGCTTCCGATTTGCATCGTGAGGCAGCAGAACTATTTCCTTGTAATTATGTGAACGTCAAAGTGATTGGCAGGGGGAAACGGGCTGAGCTGCTTTGTGACAGCACACCTGCCTGCTTGGTCTGCTGCAGAACGAGGATCTGTCACTGGCGGTGGACACTCACTCTCAATCCTTAGTTCTCCGAGAGGCGGTTGCCATGGATACAACCCAAAGATTGCCTTTGTTCAATATGAGACTTAGTATTGATGCCTTGGAATCAGAATTAGGATAACATTGCGTTCAGGTGGGGGGAATCGTTATCATGCAATCTGCCAGCCCAAATATCAGGCCCTTGTTTTGTGTTTTGTTATTAAGGACACGTTGATAAAGGGCCTACCTGTGCTCCAGAACCAATGCCTTCATTCTATGCTAGACACATGGAGATGGCCGCTGGTATAAGGACATCTGTAAAAGGTGAGCCAGGAATGCAGGAACCAGAAACTAGGAATCAAAGGTCAGGGGACAAACAGGGATACACCAGATAAAGGAAGACCTAGGTGGTCAGACAAGGTCCCAAACCGAAGAGGAACTTCTGTGTATCCCTTCCTATCCAGGAGGACCCAATGTGCGGTGCCAGTCCAGGGTCTATATCACAGTCAAAAGGATGTTTCAGGTTGCAGGACTGGTAGTTCATCACATGGGGCAACTATGGAAATTGCAACAGCAGGGGTCATTTAGTTTGTAACTTGAGGGTTAACTTATTGGTAAGTCAACCAGGAGAAGTGTGCACTATTTTAACGTTTATTTATAAATCGTTTCGATGCCACCTTTCTGAGCACAGCCCCTCCAGAGCAACTCACAACATCACAAAACAGTACATCTATAAAATCCAATAGCAATAGCAACGGAACTATAGCAAGGGGGTTTGCCATCCTTTAAAAACCGAAGCCACTTAAAACAAATATCCATATAAAAAAACGAAGCCACTTAAAAAAATATCCATATAAATTACCACCCGGCCAACAGAGTCATTGATGTTAAAATAGCCAATTCTGAAAAAAACAACCACTGGGGCTAAGCGGCCCAAAATAGACATGTTTTCAAGGCTTGCTTAAACATGTAGAATATTCTAAGTCAGGTGGAGCCAGACTCAGTGACAGCAGTGGTGGCAGGTGCCTATTGTGACTCATAGGAAGGAAGGCAAAGAGAGCAACAGTAGATAGGGCCTGAGTCAATTACAGGCAGAATCACCCTTCTGACTGGTTGTGAACAAGACGGGAGTCTGCTGTGGATTGGTTAAGGCAGATTGAGGTTGTTGGGACACTGCCCCATTCAACCTAATGGAACAGCCTCCACTGCTTCCAAGGACCACATGCCAGTGGTGTTGCAAAAGTGGGTGGAGCAGCAAATGTAAATTTTACCTTGGTCCCGTAGGTTAATTCAATAGTGGCCACTGAGGCCACGCAGGTGGGGCACCATTGCTCTCCCAGCTTCAGCAAACACCAGCCTTCACCCAGAAAGAGCAGGAAGGAGTGAGGCATGGTGTCAGTGGTGGAAGCCACCTGAGTGTCAGGAGCTCGTCCTACACTCGAGTAGGACCCTGGCAGAGACACATGCCTGACTGGCATGTTCTCTCCCTCCTGGTTGATCGTTCGGGAGCTTCAAAAGCTTTCTTCAGCCCGAACATCACAGCGACCGATGCCAACAGACATCGGCACACTTAGGGATCCACAGAGTCTTTGCAGCTTGCGTAACAGACCTCAGCAACTCAGCATTTTGGCTAATCTACTTTATTTACATATAAACACACACAGAGCACTGCAACATGGCTCCCTCTCTCTCTAGCATCAGGCAGCAAAGAGAGAGAAAGAACAAAGGACAATAGTCCCACTTCGCAGAACACAGTAACACAAACATCCTGTCTCCGTCACTTCCCACTCTGTGGAGTCAAAACATACACCATCATGTGATAGACAACAATCCCATGACTGCAATCATGGAGCAGGAATTCTAACATTGAGCCTCCCAGGGAAAGCACAGAGGGAGAGGATTTGGACCCTGGCTCCTGGTGGTAGGAAACCAGCCACACCCCAGAGGAGGGGATGAGCTGGGAATTACTGAAGGCAGGGAGCTTGAGAAATAGTGAAGAGGAGGAAACAGGCAAGGAAACAGGGCAGGGACAGGAATCAGACTTGGCAGAACCACTCTGATAGCTTCTCTGCTGACAGCTTGCAGCCCACCCTTCCAGAAGAAGGCGTTTGTTGCACGTTGCCAGGCAGAGAGCCAAGCAGACACAGAGAGGGTCCCTTGGGGATTGTCGTAGCCAGAGGGAGGGGCCTGAGATAGAGGGTTAGGGAGTGAAGAAGGGGGAGCTAAAGGCAACAACTGCTTCACCAAGACAGGAGCAATCTTCAGAAGCCTCTGTGTGTTCTTTATTCCGCTTTCCTTAATAATCATGATACAGTGGTACCTGGGATTACATACGCTTCAGGTTACATACGCTTCAGGTTACACACTCCGCTAACCTAGAAATAGTGCTTCAGGTTAAGAACTTTGCTTCAGGATGAGAACAGAAATCGGGCTCCGGCGGCACAGCTGCAGCAGGAGGCCCCATTAGCTAAAGTGGTGCTTCAGGTTAAGAACAGTTTCAGGTTGAGAACGGACCTCCGGAACGAATTAAGTACTTAACCTGAGGTACCACTGTAATAGTAATAACTAGCTGTAAGCTAGCCAAGTGTTTCACTCTCTTTCTCTGTTCTACCAACAACCTGCTCTCATTGTCAGCTTCCTGACACATGGGAAGATTGGGCCAATGCAGGGCATGCTGGTGTGGGCAACCCAACAGGATGCTGGACTAAGTGGGCCATTGACTCGTCTTATGATCTTAAAAAAAGGTAAAGGACCCCTGACAGTTAAGTCCAGTCGCAAACGACTCTGGGGTTGCGGCGCTCATCTCGCTTTACTGGCCAAGGGAGCTGACCTTTGTCTAAAGACAGTTTTCCGGGTCATGTGGCCAGCATGACTAAGCCGCTTCTGGCGAAACTAGAGCATGGAAATGCCGTTTACCTTCCCACTGGAGCAGTACCTATTGATCTACTTGCACTTTGACGTGCTTTCGAACTGCTAAGTTGGCAGGAGCTGGGACCGAACAATGGGAGCTCCCCCCGTCTCAGGGATTCGAACCGCGACCTTCCAATCGGCAAGCCCTAGGCTTAGTGGTTTAGACCATAGCGCCACCCACTTCCCTTATGATCTTAACCCCTGGTCTAAAGCATGGGGTTCCCACAATGCCATTGAATTCAGAATCTAAGGCCATAATCCTTTACTCAATTGCCTGAGCAGATAGACATGTATAGCACTGCAGTGTGCATTTTCCTACTTGTGCCACCGAAACCAAGTACAGCAATCCTAATTAGATCTTGCCGTTTCCATCCCACGACACTTGGAAAGAGACACGGTGTAAACCTACGGCCATATCTATATCTACTTACATCAGCATACATATTTTTTAGGGGGAAGCGACGAAGCTGCAGTTTGCTCACATTCATCCCTCGGGGGATCCAAACAGTAAAGAAGATAACCATCTGGAGGAAGTTGATTTTCCTTAGAGCACCCTAAGAAAAGACAGCGCCAGATCGCTTCCCTGAAATTGCACATATAAAAAACAGAAGACTCTGGTTGCTGAAAACAAAGCAACAATGTCAGATTCTCAGTCTACTTCACTGCCCCCTCCAACCCCCGCTTGAGTGCTTCATCTCCCAGAAGACCAACTAACTCCAATTACTTTGCCAACAGCTGCCACTGGAAAGGGGAAAAAATATGTGACAAGCTTCAAAATATTTTCCCTCCTTTGCACTTTTCAAATTTTGAGAGATGGGCAGAAACTGGAGGCCCTCTTCGTTGAATCAATGTTGTGCCAAGGAAAGTCTGGGCAGTATTGTTCAGAAATTCCTACATTCTTTTTCTCCAAAGGTTGAAGAAGGGACAGAAAGTGGTTGTGTGGATTTGTGGCTCAGTGATGATCTGGCTACAGCTTCTTTAAAAACACAACACTTAATTGAATTTCCTGCAAGGGTCGCCCAGTTATTTTTCTCAGTTGTAAGACATTTAATTAAATATTGTGCATGGGTAGCATCATCTTCACATATTATATTTAATACCCATCCTTCACCATAAGGTGTCAGGGCAGGTTATATCTAAAAAAAGATGTTGCAGTATAATAAATCAAGTGAAACAAGCACGTCCCCGGGACTGCTTACTTTTTTGTTTTTTTATTCATTAAATTTATATCCCACCCTTTCATCTGAGAATCACAAGGCAGTTTACAGCATTAAAAAACAAAAATGCATAATATAATAACGAACAAAACTACCCCTCCACACACATAGTTTAAAAGGCCGTAGATCACGTAAACAGCCAAAAACCAGGGAGAAAATGAATGCTTTTGCCTTGTGCCTAAAAATGGGTTGTTTTAGTATCATTCTCATGGTTGGGTGATAAGATGATAGATAGAATGATAGATTGATGAAAGATGATAGGTAGGTAGATAGATAGATAGATAGATAGATAGATAGATATAGATATAGATAGATAGATGATAGATAGAAAGAATTATTAGGTGTACTTCTTAACCACGGTAAGCAAATACAAGGAATAGTGCTCTGATCTTTTCTGCAACTACCAGGGTGAGGATGTTAGCAGTTCTTTCCAGGTCACATAGGGATCCCCTAACCATCTGGAGCAAATTCGGAGTTGATACATAGAGAGAAGATGGAGGGGATGTTCCATTGCTCTCATGCAATTATTTCGCACGCAGAATCATTTAATTGGATATAACACAGAAATATTTCTTTATCAAAATACTTGTATACCACAATTTCATTAAAAAGGTTATAAATACACATATATATACCATTTCATAAAATAAAATTAGCCTAACATCTGTTGCATATCCTATATTTGTCCTCCAATTATTTTTCTGA